CTTTTATTTGTCCAATATGTTTCCACCTGCATTCCCATCAGCCCCTGCTAAGCATCAGCATTTTAGTAGGGATGGGAACGATTAATCAAATATTCGAATATTCGAAATTATTCAGGTATTCGAATAATTATTCATGTATTCGAATATGAGTTATGAATTTTTTTGAATTTTTTTTTGGGAGTGATGAGTGATGCCTAAGTTGATTACATATTATCAAATTGAATATTATCAAATTGAATAATTCAATGTTATTCAATTAAATGTGTTAGTTGACGTCTAAAGGTGTGTTTTGCTCCGCTCACCGGTCCCTCAAAGCGGGCAGGGCTGCAGGTGCTGATTTTATAGCATATGTACATTTCGGTTAACCGGTTAACCGTTTTTTGGGGGGTCGAATATTCGAATATACATTTGCTTTCAAATTCCCATCCCTACATTTTAGCATTGTCTTTGGGAGCATGTCAGCATGCTAGTATTAGCACTGCAGTGCCTAAACACAGCTTCATACAGTCGCTTGATGGCATGGCATCGGAAAGAAACGTGATGGTAACAAATCAAATTAATATATTCTAAACTGCAAAAAGTAGTCCACTCATCCATTAGTCGATCAAACGAACGTTATTTGGTATCCCTGCTTGCACAGTATCTGTTGAAATTTAAATGAATATCTATATTGAGAATACGTTTTTTTAATGTTGGGTTTTTTCTTACATTATATAAACTGATTAATCTAGAAAACAATCAATCTTAAAAAGGAAATTTAGATTTAGATTAAAATACAGATTATATTTCTATACTGTTTACCTCATTGCAATGAAAGATAACATAGATGCCAGCGTTGTAACCTTGTAACATTCTTTATTGCTGTATTACACAACTACAGTGCATCATGTTGGCCTGTAAATTACAGAGTCATACTCAAACTGGTCTTTCTGGATCGTATTTCATTGTCCTGCCTCCACATTTCCATTTTTGCAGCCCATTGCTTTGTTTTCAGGCAGCGCTGATTTCTGTCTCTCCGCATGGTTTGTCTTGTTAAATTGAATATGTATAGAAGAGGGGAGATTGACTCAATATACATAGAGCAGAAGAGATGACATCAAATGAATGCCATTAGAATGACTTGTACTGTAAGTGTGAAATCCCAGTTTCCATCACTTGCTGTTTCACATCCCACTGCTTCACTCACAGAAACTCATTCTTTATGACGTGTGTTAAAGAGTTGCACATTCAGTGATGTTTCTGTCTCTCTTTAACTCTGTAATGTGAGACCAACAGTGTATTGAATTCATATTTATGAAGTGCTTGAGAGGGCTTATCTGGGGCAAGTCATATGGGCTCAAATGATTCGATTCAGACCTACTTTGCAATTGTTATCAGAGAAAAAGTTACACTTATCACCCTTAAATCAATGAAAACATTTTAAGGAGGACCTTACTAAAATTTGATAGACCCAATGAAATATAAATTATGTTTTTATCATGGTAAGCAGCTACAAAATAACAAGCAAATGTAGTGAACTGCAGGCTAAGAGTGCACTTTATGTAAGCTCTGCAATAGGTGACAGTTTAGGCAAAGTGGTGGGAAAGGCAGCAACTGACTAAAGTGTTTAAGGAGGAGGCAATAGAAAAAACTCAGAAAGGTCATGAAACAGTGTGGTTGTTTTTTAAGAACCAAACTTGCTTGGGGGGATAGTATGTGTTTATCTGCGTGTACTGTATGACTGTATCTCTGCATATTGAAGTGCTTTTTTATTTGTAGCATACAAATCTACACTGGACAATTCTACAAATGTGCATACATGTTGTTTTGAAAATTAGTTTTCAATGCTTCCACTTTTTCCTTTGAGATGTCATTGCGTCACAGCACTATGTCTAAGCCGAGGCATTACCACACTTGTTGCATCACATTTTATTTCCTTGGCGAGCAGAAAAATGAGGTGGACATTGGTCAATTTAGAAACTCTGATCCATTATAAGTAATTGTTAAGGTTAATGTATGGGACATTTATAACGTTTCTATCCCTTCTTTTAGTCTAAAATGGTCTAATTTCAAACACCAATTGCAGACACAGATCAAAGCTTTAACATTGATACATTTGCCATGGACTGAATACATTGATAAAGAAATTAGGGACTTAATTAAGAGTAATATTTTGGCCCACTGGAGATACAGTATCTGCCTAACTCTAATCTCCTAACATTGCTGATTCACCATACATTATTGCCTATGCCATTAGAATACTTGTTACATTCCGAAATAACTATCTGCCTAAGGCATCTCTTTGACTTCATACAAAGAGGCTGACCACAAGTGAAGCATTAGCTCTTCTATTTGATTCAAGATCGAAAGTAGTCAGGAAGTGACATGGACACCTGGTGACAGATTGAAAGGAGAAACGGGAGTTGAAGCCTCCAAAGCAGCTCCTGATATATGGTCAGAAATGGAAAAACTGGAAACATATGACTCAGGCAATTAAGCTATTAGGCTAACGCTATACAGTAGAGAGCATACAGTATATATTGTTTTTTTGGCCCACAGCAGAAATAACTGGCAGTCACTATCAAAAGCTTTTCACTGCAGATTTAAACTATTTCACATTCTCTTTTGATTATTTTGAACCAAACAAATCCTTCAAAGAACAAAATCCTATTTTAGTCCAAAAAAAGGCAAAATGGTTCCCCATAACTATTTAAGAGGTTATACTCTTTCTATTTTAAGTCTTTTTATCCTTTCTGGACTTTTCATGCAGTGGGAGACATATATAATAACAGCACCTCACATTGTTTAAAGGTGTATTTATTTATGTATTGACTGATCTGTGGAGGGAAGGCAAAAAATGCTTTTATTGTCTCAGTAACTGCAGCTCGGTTTACTTTATGGCACCTTTGGCTTTCAGCTGTGATAAACTGGCAGTGTGGAAGTTAAATAGAGGAGGCAAGAGATGTTGAATAGGCAAAGGTTGCAAGTGCTCTGCCAACTACTTCTGTACACACACAGAGAAAGGGCTATTGGTTCAACCAGCCAACCGACCAAATGAATATGGACTGCGCTTACATGTTGGACTCTTTCTATTGCAATAATTGGAGAAAATAAATCCTTCCCCCTGACACTTTGCACCGAAAACTCCCGGATTCAGATCCCCCCTCCCTTCATTTTAAGCTCATTTTTCATTCTGAGCATTGTTTAGTATATGCATTTTTTATTAAGGCCTCTGAATTAGTGTGCAAAGTTCATCTGTTGAAAAAAACAACAGCCTGTTTTCAACTAATCTTCTTTCTTAGAGTGAAAAGCAAATACCCTGGAAAACATAACCCTTTGAAAGCTGTGACCTTCATTTTAAAGGTCTAAATGGGGATGGCGTTGTGAAATGTAACGTTACCAGAAATAGAAAAAACCCTAAATCTGACAACCATTTCACATCAAATCAGTTTTTAAATAATCCCTTTTGTGGCACAATCAAATAATCCAACATATTATACGATAGTTCTGTCCACAGCTCATAATACGACAGATTTTCGAGCAGGCACTGTGTACTGATATATATTTTTGTATGATTGTCTTTCATGCTATTAAAGGGGCCCTGTTATGCAACATTTCAGGTTTCATAATTGTATTTTCTGCCACTCCTGTGACATGTTTATACAGTATGTCTTAATATTTCAAAAGTGCTTTATTCTCTAATTCTGCCTGTGCTGCAGGACCTCTTTTCACCCTGTGTCTGAAAACCAGAGCCAAGTCTGCTCTGATTGGTTAGCTGGCCGGCTCTGTTGTGATTAGTCAACCACTTATCCTAACATATACAATTTGTCCAAGCGCTCACCAATAAAAACAAAAGTGTTACATTGTGATGTCACTATGTTATGGAAGTAAACAAAGGAGAAGAATGCTTTTTTTTTTGGCTGTTCAATGGTACAACCCATCTGACAAAAAACTATAATATCATCATGATGTGTTCAAATGTACACAGCAATATCAAATACTGTAGGTATATTAGAGATATAATTATGTTCTATTTAACTTAAAACAATAACAAATATGCAAACACAATCGAAGAGTATAAGTTGAAGCTTTCTACATAGGATTTACTGTTTTGTTTTTGGTTTATCTTATTATCAAATTGGTAAAAAGAGTGGAATTGTACTTGTATTGATATTGTCTACTAACTCTAGGGATCATGACAACTTTGGCTGACAAAGCACAGTTTAAACGTATTCCATCCAACCACTGAGAAAACTTCAGAGGGCCCAAATACAAACAGCTTCCAACAAATATATTGAGCCCATAAAAAGGTGTCAATATTAATATAACGTGCAAAGAAGAAAAATGTGAATATATAACAGATAATTCAAATGTCTGAACAGTAGTGTTAATGTACAGTGTATCTCCATGTGGAGGTGAATGATACATAGTACACTCAAGTCCTGCATGTGTCCTCCATTATCTCTCATATATGAATGTTTCTATGCACTGTATAATGTTGCTTTGTGAATTTCAAGAAGCACGAGTGCATTCATATTTTGTTTAAAAAGCCTCTGTAAACACAAGGATATTAATATCAATATCGCACAGGCCATGATGCAGCTATATTCCTTTTAATTGACATAATTCAGACCACACTAACACGTAAAACCAAGAGGGGTCTTTGAATCAACAAAGTGCTTGTAATGTAATAAGCACTCTCTTTCTAAATGGAGCCTTGACTCCATTTAAAAGAGGGCAGAAAATATGTGTGCACTCTTGCTTAAGGCTTTCATCTTGCATATAAATCACTCCCGCTGAAAGTGGGTGTTTGAGCACCAGATTTCAGGTCTTGGGGCGCGCCAAGGCTGCATTAATGACAGTGCTGAGCCACAACTGCATGAAGTAAATTAAACCAATTCCAAATATTCTGGGAGCTGATAAAAAATGTTGAAACTAAGGCTCTTTGGATGATTTTGAAAGCTTACTTGTAGTTCTCATAATTTCTCTCCTTTCCCTTTCCTGCTTCCTGTTTCTGACAGATACCGCAGCAGCTGAGCGCTCTTACGTTGTATAGGTGTGAGCAGTCTGCTCTGGATTACTGCCATGCCCACCTGTTGCTGCACCTCAACATGGGCATGGAGCACCCAACTCAGGCATTTGGAGGTCCGAGGCCAGCCAAGTACCACCCTGGCCTCATGCCTCCCCTCCCCTCCGAGCCTGTGCTGCCTTGCCCCCAGACCCGCTCCCTCCACCAGTGAGCTGTTTACACTGTGAGCCTCTGTGTCTGAAATACTGACTGCTGCACAGAATCAGTGCAAACATGAAACACCAGGCTGTGTGGGAGGGAACTGGGACTGGTAAAGAAGCAAAGGAGACTTATTCATCTACTGCAGAGCATCCTGGACCCAGGGTAATGAAAATGGAGATATTTCTCAGTGGAAATAAATGGGTGCTGCCATATTGATTAGTAAAGCTTCTGACCCACCTGACCCACCTGACCCTCAATGTCCTCAATTAGAAAAGGAGGCTGAACAGCAGCATGACTTTCCGCGTTCTGCTCTGCCTCCTAAGGAATATTAAGGCTAATAATTGAATGATTTTGTTAATCTTATTAAACGTGTTTCCTCGGCTGCTCCTCATCTGGACACCTCTCTGCTGCGTCAGGTTAAATAATCAAATCCAAAATGCTATTAACAGAGAAGTATGATAAGCAGTTGAGAAGCAGAACAAATGAAAGATCAGCCAAGCTAAAATATTTTCTGCTGCTTTCTTCTGATCATGCTGTCAGTCAGAGCGCTCTCCCCCACTCAGTCCCTGTGGCGTTTTTCATCTGGAGGAATGAGCCACCCAAATAAAATTAACAAAGACAAGAGAAAAGAGAAAATAACGGACAGTAATTGTTATATAAAATGTACAGCCTACACATCTTGCCGGCAGTAAGTATAATTTACATGGTGACTTTTGATTTCCCTCATGATTTTGGGTGTCGATCACATTATAGTTGATTCGTGCTGAGAAATAAACAGATGAAAAATAAACACCAGATCTCGGTGCACTGGGATGTTCGGATATTTACTTTTCGTCATCCATTTAAATCACTCTTGTAGTTAATGTTTTGTTGTTTTTGAAATGTGTTCTACAACCAATAATCTGATTGTGCACTCATACTGTATATCTACATGTGTGTGCTTTTTACAAGATGTTGCATTATAATATATGGTAAATAAACTGTGGTAAATGACCAATAACAGTGTCTTTCATCAAGATCAGTGGTATCAACCCAACACACTCTCTGCTGTATTTCAACAGCTGTGTAATTAGTTAAGAATGGAAAGTGCAGCTCTTAAGGAAAGCCTGATGAAGAATCATGTCTGTTTTTTGCATTACTGATCTCTTCCTGTGACTGTATGTGAAAGTTATCTGACGTAATACAGTATACTCCACTCTCTGAACCTTGTGGTCTTTTATGTTGCTTCCTAAGGAAAGCTTGTGTGCAAAAATAATACCCAATGAAAGGTGCAGGGTATTTATAGACAGGAGCTAAATGTTCTTAGCACACAAGACGTGTGCCTGTGTCATAAAAGGGGGTAATGCTAAATGTAATATAATTTGAACGTTTGTCAGGAATTGACTGTTAGTTATATCTTGCTATCTACAGCATTTTTTCAGATGGAGCACTTAATTAGTCATCTACATTTTGTGGGGTTACAGGTAAGACCCTAAGACCCCAGAACCGACTGTATGAGGGTCCTATACTAAGAGTGTAGGGTAATACTGTTATAATATAGGGATATTTACACCAAAAACAAACTTTCAAAACTCACTACCAGAGAAACAGTAGCTTGTCATGGTACAATTACAATAAACAGATGATGAAGGATACATCTTATGTTTGTGTTGAGGTTTGAAAGCTAAGCAGGAAACGGTGGATTCATTTTGGACGCAAAAAGAAAAGTAAGATGGGACTTTTAGAACCTGATACTAATATCAATCAATCAATCAATGTTTATTTATATAGCCCAATATCACAAATGTTACATTTGTCTCAGTGGACTTTACAGTTTGTACAAAATATCAGTATGACAATACGACACCCTCTGTCCTTAGACCCTCACATCGTACAAGGAAAAACTTCCGGAGAAAACCCACAGTTTAAGGGGAAAAATGGGAGAAACCTCAGGGAGAGCAACAGAGGAGGGATCCCTCTCCCAGGACGGACAGACGTGCAATAGATGCCGTGTGTAAATTGAAAAGATAATACATTTGCAACATAGGTAGTCCAAATGTTTGGAAATGCATGTGTGTATAATAGGAAGATGAATCCACGAGGATATCCATCCAGGACCTATGATCCAGGACCACAGCCACGACTCAAGATCCAGGGCTCGCAATCCAGGACAGAGGAGCGCAGGATCATCCATGACTCCGGATCCCGGCGTATATAGACACCAAAAAGAAAGACATTTGGGGAAGCTGGGTTAATCGGAACATGAGAGTACACAGGTATAGACAGAGAGAAGGAAGAAGTAAGATGTCCCCCGACAAACTAAGCCTATATCAGCAAAACTAGGGGCTGGATCTAATCAGCCCTAACTATAAGCTTTATCAAAAAGGAAGGTCTTAAGCGCACTCTTAAAAACGGATAGGGTGTCTGCCGCCCGAACACAAACTGGAAGCTGATTCCACAAATGTGGAGCTTGATAAGAAAAGGCTCTGGCTCCCATTGTACTTTTAGAGACTCTAGGAACAACCAACAACCCTGCATTCTTGGAACGCAATGCCCTAGTAGGACAGTAGGGTATAATGAGTTCTTTAAGGTAAGATGGCGCCTGCCCATTAAGGGCTTTGTAGGCGAGAAGAAGAATTTTAAATTCTATCCTGTGTTCTATAGGGAGCCAGTGTAAGGCAGCCAGAACAGGAGTAATGTGGTCCCTTTTCCTAACTCTGGTTAGTACACGAGCCGCAGCATTTTGAATCAGCTGAAGCGACTTGACTGACTTCTTGGTACACCCTGATAATAAAGAGTTACAATAATCCAGCCTTGAAGTAACAAATGCATGGACTAGTTTCTCTGCATCGTTTTGAGGCAAGATATGCCTGATTTTTGCAATGTTACGTAGATGGAAGTAGGCGGTCCTTGAAATTGATTTTATGTGGGCGTTAAAGGATAAATCCTGATCAAATATAACACCAAGATTCCTTACAGTCTCACTGGAGGCCAAATTAATGCCATCCATAGTTAGTATATCCTTAGATAATTTGTTTCGTAGATTCTTCGGGCCAAGTACAATAACTTCAGTTTTGGTCGTGTTTAACATCAAAAAGTTTAAGGTCATCCACGTTTTTAAGTCCTTAAGGCAGTCTTGAATTTTATTTAGATGATTAATTTCATCAGGCTTGATTGATAAATATAGTTGAGTATCATCCGCATAACAATGAAAGTTTACAGAATGATTCCTTATAATATTGCCTAACGGAAGCATATATAATGTGAACAAAATAGGTCCGAGCACTGAGCCCTGTGGCACTCCATGGCTAACTTTGGTTTGCGTGGAAGATTCATCATTGACACGTACAAACTGAGAGCGTTCAGATAGATAGGACCTAAACCAGTCTAAAGCAGTTCCCTGTATGCCAACTAAGTGCTCTAGTCTTTGCAATAAGATATCATGGTCGATAGTATCAAATGCAGCACTGAGATCGAGCAAAACAAGAATAGAGACACGTCCCTTGTCAGAGGCTATTAGAATGTCATTTGTGACTTTAACCAGAGCTGTCTCTGTGCTATGATGTGTTCTAAAGCCAGACTGAAAAGCTTCAAATAAATCATTGTTTTTTAAGTAATCACACAACTGTTTTGCGACCGCTTTCTCAAGAATTTTTGAGAGGAACGGAAGATTAGAAATAGGTCTATAGTTGGCTAAAACCTCTGGATCGAGGTTGTGCTTTTTAAGAAGCGGTTTTATCACTGCTACTTTGAATGATTGTGGAACATAGCCTGATAATAAAGACATATTCATAATATTTAATAAATAAGTGCTAATTAATGGAAAAACTTCCTTCAACAGCTTAGTTGGAATTGGGTCTAACATGCATGTTGATGGTTTAGAAGAGAGAATCATTGAATTTAATTGTTCAAGGTTTATGGCTGAAAAGCATTCTAGTTTACTATCTAGTGTAATATTAGAACTTACGTTTCCGGGAGCTGTTGATAACACTATACTGGTCAAAGGCAAGAGGTCATTAATTTTGTTTCTAAGAGTAACAATTTTATCGTAAAAAAGCACATAAAATCATTACTACTAAGTGCTATGGGAATAGAAGGCTCAATCGAGCTGTGGCTTTCTGTCAGCCTGGCTACAGTGCTGAAAAGAAATCTTGCATTATTCTTATTCTCATCTATTAATGAAGAGTAGTAAGCTGCTCTCGCTTTACGCAATGCTTTCTTATATTCATTGAGAGTAATATGCCAAATTAAACGAGATTCTTCAAGTTTAGTAGAACGCCATATCCTTTCAAGTTGTCTCGACTTTTGCTTTATTTTGCGGGTTTCGGCATTATGCCATGGAGCTAGTCTATGTTGTTTTATTTTCTTCTTTTTCAAAGGAGCAACAGAGTCTAATTTTATTCGCAGCGCATCTGTAGCACTATCAACAACATGATCAATTTGGGGTGGTGTACATTTTGTATAAGTTTCCTCCCTTACATGCAGACATGCTATCGAGTTAAGTATTGGTGGAATCTCTTCCTTAAATTTGGCTATAGCACTAACAGATAGGTTTCTGCTGCAGGAGCTTTTGACTAATGCTTTGTAGTCTCGTAACAGTACTTCAAAAGTTACTAAGAAATGGTCGGATAAAGCAGGATTATGCGGTTCGACTAATAGTTGCTCAATTTCAATACCATAAGTCAGAACAAGGTCGAGAGTGTGATTATAGCAGTGGGTTGGTTTATTTACACTCTGACAAAAACCAACAGAATCTAATATAGAGTTAAATGCAACAGTAAGGCTATTTTTATCATCGTCAACATGAATATTAAAGTCACCTACGATAATTACTTTATCTGTTTTAAGAACCAAGTTGATAAAAACTCAGAGAATTCAGATAAGAATTCTGAATAAGGACCTGGTGCACGGTACACTGTAACAAATAAGATTGGCTGCAAAGTTTTCCAGGTCGGATGCGTAAGACTAAAAACGAGACTTTCAAAGGAGGTATAATTTAATTTTGGTTTAGTATTGATAAGTAAACTTGAGTCAAAGATGGCTGCAACTCCACCTCCTCGGCCCGTGCCTCGGGCAATATGAGTATTGATATGGCTGGGTGGAGTGGCCTCATTTATGCTGACATATTCTTCATGTCTCAACCAAGTTTCAGTGAGACAGCATATATCAATATTATAATCTGATATTAAATAATTTACCAATATTGCTTTAGATGCTAGAGATCTTATGTTTAAGAGACCACATTTAATATTCCTGTTTTGTTGCACTGTAGTAGTTGTTACATTTACTTTGATTAGGTTATTATGTATGACACCTCTATTAGGTTTTACCTTAACTTGTCCTTGGGCAGACACACACACCGCTAATATTGGGTATTTTATTGGGTTCGGGATTCCTATGGATGACTGCCTAGGAGAGAGCGCAGAGAAGCGTGTAAGACTGCGACTCCGCCTCCTGGTCTCAACTCCAGTTTGTCATGGATTAAGTCCACAAAGCCCTGAGATGTTTGCCGAAATGAGATCGGCACCTTCCAAAGTAGGATGAATGCCGTCTCTCTTAATCAGACCAGGTTTTCCCCAGAAGGCTGTCCAATTATTTACGAAGCCCACATTGTTTGCTGGGCACCAGGGGCGGACTGGGACTAAAATTCAGCCCTGGAAACTGACCCAGTCCGGCCACATGAAATGTCAAATGTTAGAAATCCGCTGTTTATTGTTTAAAGTTTTACGTCCGACTCGCTCCTTTTTCCCTCTCTGTGCACAGCTCCAGTTTGGGCATTGGCCTGTCATCAGATTTCATTTTGAGCTGCTTCCTGTAGCGGAAGTTTAGTAAAATTATTTTTGATGAAATACTCCAAATCTCCACCCTCCATAATTGCACTTGCTTCAGTTGCTTGCTACTTTTTAAGGGCAGTGATGACAGTTACAGTACGAACTGAAGTTGATGCGATTTGATTGGATTGTGAGGCATGACGTGCGCCTCATCTGATTGGTCAATCCCTCAATTCTTTTCACCAAGGGAAGCCAATTTCGGCTAGCCTCCTCTCGCAACAGAGTGCAATCTACTGTTTCACCATAACATCTAGAGGGGCGCTGTTTCACTCTTTGTAAAATACTCAATGAGAATGGGGGAGAGATGGGCCGGCGGAATAATTACCGAAACTAAACGAAGTGTTTTTATGTATTTATTAAAATTATAACTACAATCCAGGAGAAAACGCCACTG